AAAAATCAGATTTGGGTCACTTCAGGCTGCAGTCTGAACGTAGCCATAAAGTGTTCAACGTGTTCAATCATTGATAACCTTTCAAATGAAGTGAAAACATCTGGGCTAAAACTAGTTAGAAACATTGCTCTGTCTGGATCTTTCTTATTCAAGTCAGACTTAAATCCGAGCTTTCTTTCAACACATTCTCACCATAAATAAATAAGTGAGTCGGGCTTACAGCAGGTGATCTGATCTGTGCTGTTCAACAAGTCCCTCTCCAATAATATTCAAATCACAAGCTCGTATTAGACAGCAGGTTTTCAGTTAGTCACACTCGCTGTCTTTGCTGGAAATCAAGTCATTTGTAATATTACTTCACCGTAGGAAATCATGACATCATATGATTTCATTCCTGTTGCCTAGCGCTCGTGTCATGCACGGGGCCCAGACTCCACCAGTGTTCACACAACATTATTATTTGGCAAATCAAAACGTATGAAAACAGATTTATTTTGTTGAATCCATGTTTAAAAGGCAGGAAATGTTTCTAACTTTTGATTTGAACTTTGATGGAGTCTCCCGAGTGTGAGGCCATCAATATTATTTAGAATTGTGATCTGCTCGGTGTCATTTTTTTGGCATTTTTTCCAACTTCTCTATACAAATCAACACTTGACTGGTGTAAAACTAATTTATATTTACAACAGGTATTATCCCACCACATTAAGTGGATATTAAAAAACAATTAAACGTTGCTTGTGTAATGAAACAAGAAAGGGGGAAAAAAAGACAAAACATTCATTTGCGAGTGAGCCTGTCTCTCCACAGATCACACCTGGAACTTGACCTGGTGCTGTCTCAGTGGAGATTAGGGTGGTCCACAAAATAATGTTTTTTAATTAAAATAAAAATAAAAATCAGATTTCTTTCCTCCCAATGTTTTATTTGAGTCTAACCAATGAAAAAATACCCCATGTAAAATATCACCCTCAGTGTCTGTGTACACTGGTGGGTGAGTGGTTCCTTGTTGAAAAGTCTTGAAGGTGGAAAAGTGCTGTAAAATGTGACAAAAAAAAAAAAATAGACCATAAACATGACAATGGAGAAACACGTGGAGCACACGGCCACGTGAGGACAATTTCCTTCCAAGTATCTGCTCCTCTGACTTTGACATCAAACAGAGGCACCTTGCAGAAATCTTAAGAATAAATGTGGCTTTTTTTAAAGGTAACTTAGAAGAGTTACACATTAAAAGTTTTCTCTAAAAAATCAAGTAAAATCACACATAAGCAGAGACCAAAGTAAGGTCGAGCATTTACCAATTAAGATAAAACTGTGCACATGCTATTCTTTTCCATAGGTGGACTCACTTAAGTCCTTGGGAGGTAAACTATCCAGAAGTGATTTTTTGGCAAACCCTAGTGGCGATGGAAGTTCTTCTGTGAATACTGTGGATTATTCTAGGCAAAGAAGTCACATTTTCTTTAACCTTAACTTGACCAGTGCGTTCATCTGGTTCAAGTTAATGACCAAGTGAAGAACCTCCCAGAAATTAGACTCAGAACTTTTGATAGTGTCATTTGGTACTTTGTTTCCTGCACCTCAGAGACTTGTTCATATAAAGGCTGCGTTCCTGCACAGACATCAGTGTCACAGAGTACATGCTCTCTCCTCCCACACCGTATGTAACTGTATCACACACACACACCTAACACACACATATACAGTCCCTGACAAAAGTCTTGTCACTTATCCATTTTGTAGAAACAAAAGCTTATAACCTGACTTTAAATGAATCGATTGGTTTTAAAAATGTCTCATATGAAGCTAAAACCCTCCCAAATTATGCTCAATATACTAAAATAAATTTGCTTCACTGAAGAAAGATTGATCATTCAATGAACACAGAAAGGTCAGATTTTGGCAAGACAAAAGTTTTGTCGCCTACAGAAAATTGAACAAATAATTTACTTCAAATACAAAAATATGTTGCATAACGTCAGTGAATGAAGTAGTGGTGCTGTGAGATCCATATTTAATATCTTGTATGACTCCATGAGCTTGAAGGACGCATCCATGCGGTTCAACAATGATTCATACAATTTGTTGATGAAGTCATCAGGAATAGCAAAGAAAGCGTCTTACATGCCTCCCAGAGTTCATCAAGATTCTTTGGTTTTGCCTTCCATGTTTCCTCTTTCATTCTACCCCAGACCTGCTCAATGATGTTCATGTCTGGTGACTGGGCTCCAGTCCTGCACAACCTTGATCTTCTTCGCCTTGAGAAACTTTGATGTAGAGATAGAAGTATGTGATGGAGCACCATCCTGCTGCAAAATTTGACCCCTTTTATGGTTGGGAATGTAAGAGGAGCTGATACTTCTTGATATTTTAGGTTATTGATATTGTCTTCCACCCTGCAAATGTCTCACACACCCCCAGACTGGATGGAACCCCAGACCAGGATTTTTCCGCCACCAAACTTAACTGTTTTCTGGGTGAATCTTGGATCCATGCGGCTCCAGTAGGTCTCCTGCAATATTTTGCGGCGGCTGTGATGTAATTCAACCGAGGATTCATCTGAGAAATCCACCTTCTGCCACTTTTCTAGTGTCCATCCTTTTAACAGGCTGTGGGCCTTGGCAAATGCCACACACAGTTTTTTAATTGCCTTTTGTTTAGTGCTGGTTTCTGTGCACTGATTCGACCATGGAGGCCATTTCGAGACAGAATTCTACAAACTGTTGTGGTTGACACAGGGACTTGAGGTGACCAGGTCTGGTGGAGTCTGCTGCAGTGGAAAAGGGGCCTTGGATTTTCAAATCAACAAACGGTCCTCCCGAGCAGTTGTCTTGCGGGGTCTGCCGGACCTGGGCTTGTCAAAAACATCTCCAGTCATTTCAGATCTTTTTCTTATTCTTTGTACTTGACGCTGAGACACATTGAAGGTGTCACCACCTCAGCAGTGGATCTGGTCTTCAGCCTCTTGATAATTAAGGCTTTGGTCTCAGGGTGGATCTTAGGCATGTTGTCAGAGGTCAAGTTGCAGTTGATGTGAAGGTCTGGTGTGCTGGGGTTCTTTTTATACACACCCACTAATTGATTGATCAGTAACTGATCACAGGTGAGGCTGTAATCTAGGATTGGGTGCATCATATGACAAGGCCACAAGACTTTTGTCTTGTCAAAATCTGACCTTTCTGTGTTCATTAAATGATCAATCTTTCTTCAGAGAAGCAAATTTATTTTAGTATATTGAACATAATTTGGGAGGGTTTTAGCTTTCATATGAGACATTTCTAAAACCAATTGATTAATTTAAAGTCAGGTTATAAGCTTTTGTTTCTACAAAATGAATAAGCGACAAGACTTTTGTCAGGGACTGTACATAAGCCTCCGCAGCTTCTAACCGCACTGCCAGGTAAGAACTTGAAGGACAAGAGTTTTCATTGTATTTTTTATTTCCTTTTTATACTCAAAACTGGAATAACAACCAAGGGTGATAGGAACATTTTAACATTTTCATGATGGACTTTATCATCAGGTACACTGAGTACACTTACATGGCTGATAACAATTAGATAGCCCCATAATTCCATTGGACTTGGAGAAACCTGAACACTTAAAATTTCTGGTCGGAATCGCCAACTACCTGGACAAATATTCACTTGGGCGATATCCACAATGACTTGGTGGAAACTCCTGGGCCATTCACAGCAGAAAAGATGAAAGTCTCCAAAAGTCTTGATGTTGTTGAACTTGTTGGAGTCCACAGTTTGTTAGGATCTTCTACGTTTGCTCTGCGAATGTTTGAAAGCCATTTCATCCACCGTTAGCGGTTCTTTTCACTCAGAATACGAAAAAGACATTTTCCTTCTTCCGTGCTTCTATTTGTGCATCCGATAATGCAGCAGGAATTTACCATTATCGGGGATAAATACGCGAGGTTACGCACTGTATTTGACCGCTACCTTGTTTCTTGCCTCCGACCAAAATATTTCCCAGCATGCAACGTGGGCTTTTAATAACAATGACGTCAGCTGAAACTCGCCTATAAAGAGTAACTTTTGAATGATTACAGAGAAGTACTGAGGGATTTCATACATCAGTGTTCAATGATTTTTAAATTGAAACCTGATCTATTCTGCAAAATCAACTTCTCAGTGCTTCTAACCACTTCTCATTTACCCTCTCGAAGTTGTATTTGGAGTGATTTGTGCATGTTTGAGCAATCTTTAATTGCATATTTTCAAGACACCATATTACCAATCAACCTTCAAATTCACTGCCACCGGTTCTCCAATTTACTTTCTTAATCGGTGATACTCATGGGATTCAGCAGCATTGGGTAGAGGTACAGGTTTCTTTCATGCTCGCTTTCATACGTGTTGGTTCTGTGGCTTTAGCTGGTTAAAGTGCCTGTCTTGTACACATGAGATTCTGGATTCAAATCCCGCCAGTGCCTTTTCGCATTCTGTTCTCTAGGGGTAACGTTAAAAACAATCAAGCATACTCTGATTACAACAAAGAAGTTCAAATCCTGAATCTTCTCACCTGAAGTCAGATTCTTTATGTACTAGGCCACGTGGTCGTCAAAGTGCTGTCATGGTCTGATTTTGAATGTGGTAGATGATGTGTATAGTTGGGCCATGCTTAAACTGTGCCTAATTCTTGGTTTTCATCTGAGTGCATGTGCATGTGTAATGTACAAGTGCGGGGCCCTGTGGCTTAACTGGTCAAAGCACCTGTCTTGTAAACAGGAGATCCTGGGTTCAAGTCCCAGCAGTGCCTTTTCACATTCTGTTCTCTTTTGTAAGTATTCAAAAATCAAGAACCCAGGAAGGGATTAACCACCACCAAATTTTCTGATCCAAAGTCAGACACATTAACCATTAGACCACAGCTGGCTTTGTTTTCCTAGCTTGTGAAGGAGCAGGATCATTTGTCTGACTCAGTAATTTACAATTTGCCAAGCGCCCAAATTTTAGCTTTCTTTCAGGCTCAATGCACAAAGCATAGGTGCTGTGGCTTAGCTGGTCAAAGTGCCTGTCTAATAAACAGAAACTCCTGGGTTCAAGTCCCAGCAGCGCCTTTTACATTCTGATATCTTCTGTAAATAATCTAAAAGCAAGCATGCACTGATAGCCACACAAAGATTTGAACCCTCTCTCTCCTTATTCAAAATGTAGGTGGTCAAAACACCTGTCTACTTAAAGGGACTTGAGTTCAAATCCCAGCAGTGCCTTTTCACATTTTCTTTCTCTGTGGGTAACATCAAAACAATCAAACATAATCTGATTACCACAAAAGTGGGTCAAAGCCTGATTCTTTTCACCTCAAGTCATATTCCATATGTATTAGGCCACGTGGTCATCGAAGTGCTATAATGGTGTAATTTTAAATGTGCTGCATGATTTGAAAAACTGGACCACGTTAACGTCGTAACCAATAATGGGTTTTCATCTGTGTGCATGTGATTAAAGGTCACGTGCAAGGCGCTGTGGCTTAGCTGGTCAAAGTGCCTGTCTCGTAAACAGGAGATCCTGGGTTCAAATCCCAGCAGTGCCTTTCCACATTCGTGTTTCTTACGGAAACATTTTGAAACCAAGAATACACTGAAAACCACAAACCAGCTTGAGCACTCAACCTCATGGTCTGCAGTCAAGTGCCTTATAGGTTAGGCCACACAGTCACGGGTGCCTTTTATTTCCTAACTTGTGAAGGAGCGGGATCGTTTGTCTGAACATTATTCACAATACGCCAAGTGTCCAAATTTTAGCTTTCTTTCATGTTTAGTATAGAAGATGTAGGCGCTGTGGCATAGCTGGTTGAAGTGCCTGTCTAGTAAACAAGAGAACCTGGGTTCAAATCCCAGCAGTGCCTTTTCACATTCTGATATCTTCTGTAAGTATTCAACAATCAAGAACCCAGGAAGGGATTAACCACCACCAAATTTTCTGATCCAGAGTCAGACACATTAACCATTAGACCACAGCTGGCTTTGTTTTCCTAGCTTGTGAAGGAGCAGGATCAATTTGTCTGACTCAATTTACAATTTGCCAATCGTCCAAATTTTAGTTTTCTGTCATGGTTAGATCAGAAAATGTAGGCGCTGTGGCTTAGCTGGTCAAGGTGCCTGTCTAGTAAACAGGAGAACCTGGGTTCAAGTCCCAGCAGTGCCTTTTCACATTCTGGTATCTTCTGTAAATATTCTAAAAGCAAGCATGCACTGATAGCCACAAAAGGATTTGAACCTTCACTCTTCGTATCCATGTTAGGTGGTCAAAACACCTGTCTACTTAAAAGGACATCCTGAGTTCAAATCCCAGCAGTGCTTTTTCACATTTTCTTTCTCTGTGGGTAACATCAAAACAATCAAACATAATCTGATTACCACAAAAGTGGGTCAAAGCCTGATTCTTTTCACCTCAAGTCATATTCCATATGTATTAGGCCACGTGGTCATCGAAGTGCTATAATGGTGTAATTTTAAATGTGCTGCATGATTTGAAAAACTGGACCGCGTTAACGTCGTAACCAATAACGGGTTTTCATCTGCGTGCATGTGCGTAAAATACAAATGCAAGGCGCTGTGGCTTAGCTGGTCAAAGCACCTGTCTTGTAAACAGGAGACCCTGGGTTCAAATCCCAGCAGTGCCTTTTCACCTTCTACTGTCGTCTGTTAACATTCTAAAATTGGGATTGCACTGAGAGCCATCAAGGGATTCAAACGCTCAATCTTCTGATGCCAAGTCTGATAGCATATCGATGCCTAATCACGAAATGATTCCCATCCTCACTCTCGAGAACTGAAGTCCATATAGGCTGGTCAGTGTGCTTGTTGACTTAACAGGACATCCTGGGTTCAAATCCCAGCAGTGCCTTTTCACATTCTGTTCTCTTCTGTAAATATTCAAAACTTAAGTATGACCTGATAACCACGAAGGGATTTGAACCCTTAATCTTCTGATCCAAAGTAAGACGCCTTACCCATTAGGCCACACGCTCACATTGAATTTTTGTTTTCCTATATTGTGATTGAGCAGGATCATTTGTCTGACTGTTATTTACAACATGCCAGCTTGTGAAGGAGCAGGATAACTTATCTGACTGTTCTTTAGAAATGTCAATTGCTTCCTTCCTTTCATGTTCACCTCAGAAACCGATGGCGCTGTGGCTTAGCTGGTCAAAGTGCCTGTCTCGTAAACAGGAGATCCTGGGTTCAAATCCCAGCAGTGCCTTTCCACATTCGTGTCTCTTACATAAACATACATAACTTACATAAATAATTTCAAAACCAAGAACACACTGAAAATCACAAAGGAACGCGAGCACTCAACCTCATGGTCTGCAGTCACACGCCTTACATGTCAGACCACACAGTCATGGACATCTCTTATCTTTTGTCTCAGTGTTATTCACAATACGCCAAGTGCCCAAAGTTTAGCTTTCTTTCATGGTTAGTATAGAAAATGTGGGCGCTGTGGCTTAGCTGGTCAAAGCGCCTGTCTAGTAAACAGGCGATCCTGGGTTCAAGTCCCAGCAGTGCCTTTTCACATTCTATTCTCTACTGTAAACATTCAAAAATTAACCCACTGACAACCATGGAGGGATTTGAACCCTCAATCTTCTGATCCGAAGTCAGACGCCTTATCCATTAGGCCACATGGTCACATAACATTATCATTTTGCTATTTTGTGATTGAGCACGATCATTTGTCTGGTATTTACAACATGCCAATATTTATATTGAACATTCTGGTTGGACACAGGCAGCATATATGACATAAGTAAATCATCTCCATAACTGTTACCATAATGTGAAAAAGGGCCAAAAGGTGTCTGAATTGCACAATAGTTAGGATTAGACTATAAAAAATAAATAACAATACCTTTATTTTGTTAAATGAAAGAGATTTTGGATAGAAGTTTGATGACATACATGTTTTAGCTACTTAACTGATGTAAAACTATGTCAAATACCTCAAAATACCAAATTATAGCTGGGTTTCAATTAATCTCCGTGATAAATAACCGCCAGTTCCAAATATAGGCCGAGTCTGTATAGAAAGTAGCCTATTACGACACCCCCGTTGTCACTGTAGCTGCTGCCGAGGAGCTGCTCAAACTCCAATTTCCCATTTGTTGTGCTTTATTTAACCAAGATGTGATGATTAGCGCACAGAGAGAGTCTGAGGTTTACTGCGACACAGGAGCAGTTTGACTTCAGGTCAGTCCGGCCGACACCAGACTGGTTGTGTGACTGAATGGATAGGCTCTATTCTCTGCACTGCGTCTGATCACCTTCAACTTCACTGAAAAAAGTGACAGAACAGAAGTGACGTCAAAAAGAAAGAGGGTAGGAAATGGAAGCAGTTTTTAAGAGTTTTGGTAAAATGACTTCAGTTTGGTGATTGGGAGGAAGCTGAGATGTGATCGTAGCTGCTGTGGCGTAAGAGGGAAAGTTGTGGCAAAGGGACGAGGCAGCAGGAATCATGCACACAAGGTCAGCAAAGTAGTCGCCAGGCCATCATATAAAAACTATAAATTATAGTCATACTGGTTAAAAGAATTTGAGTACTATATTTTCCCATGATTTATGTTATTAGGTTCTTTTTTTCAGACCAAGAGTTTGTTTTCATCCCTGACAGTTTGTTCAGCTCCCTGTGCTCTTCCTCATGTGGCAAGACCGGCCTTGAGGGTCTTGCCACACTCCTCCACTCATTCATCCACGCCCAAATTCTCACCAGTGTCTCTTCTTAGTTCCATGGGTGAGCCGAGTGAGTCTCTCACCCTATTGCGCTTGGCTGTGCGCCGTCGTGTCCCCTAAATCGCGGCGGCAGGTAACCAAAACTCTACTACCACGTGCTACCTGTGCCAACCAACCTTCTAAAGTGTGTTATGTTTATAGCGTGTGGCAGTCCACATTGTTTGGACCACGTCTGGACGCAGTAGTTCTGCGTAGAGTTGCCTTCTGATACAGCCTGGGATTGCGCACTGTCACTTCCAACCGCGGTATGTTTTTAGCCCAGAATCTTGTACTGCAGGCTCAGATTTTAATCCCAGCAATTCATTTTCTAGGTGTCAGCGGGGCCTGCAGCAGCGTGAGCATATCGCCTCTGCTGTTTTGTTTTGTTCTACTCTTTCTTTGCTTTATTTTAGTTTTACTTTACTTTTGTTTTGTTTGTTTTGTTGTTTCTGGTTTTGGGGTTTAGCTCTTTGTTTTGTTTCAATATTTTGTACCTGTTTCTCCCACTGTCAGGTTTTAGTGTTTGCCTATTTTATGGATGTAGCTACTTTTAAACAACTTAAATCTGTGTTTTAAAACAGAGAAAATAAAGATTGTGTAATTGATGGAACCTGGCTCCCTCCCTTTGATATGGTTACCTGTGCGCCTTACATTTACTCCCTTTCCCCAAACTAGATTTGGGGTGGCACTGTTGCAACAATTTATTATAAAATTTAACATTCCCCAAGTGTTTACCCCTCGTGTCGCCACACTCAGAGTCACATGATGTTGCTGTGACGTGTCGCTTAGATGATTTAAACAGGTTTTGGCGCTGTCTTCCTCTCGGTGGAGGCTGCAGTCCCACTTCCTCAGGACAGTATCCCAGGTGTGTGAGAGTAAAAAAGCCCCTCGTCCTGGTTTATCGTCCCGTGGGCACATTTCTGTATTTCGATTGCCTCTGTAATCCAGCGACTATGTTTGTCGTCCTCTGTCCCAGTGAGGTTTGCTTCGTTCCAGTCCACAATGTGCTTCTCTGTTTTACAGTGTCACAAATGGCCCATTTGAGTTGTTCCTGTTCTGCTTTGTATTTTATTGCTCGTGTGCACACCTTCGGATACTGTCCTGAGGAAGTGGGACTGCAAGTGGCACTATCGTCCTGCCTCCACCGGTAGGAAAACAGCGTCAAAACCTGTTTAAATCATGTAATGTAGCCAGTCCATTACATGGGCCTAGGGCTAATTAAAAGGTAAAATAATGAGGAACTGAAACAAAGTTTTAGAAATGTTTATTGAATAATTGAGTGCAGATTGAAGTTACCTGTAAAATTAAAGGAAAGAAGTAAAAGGAATAAGTGCATTTAAATC